TAGACCCTTGTCCGATATGTTGTAGCCAAATTTTTTTTCCCAGTCTGTAGGTTCTCTTTTTACTCTTTTGATGAAGTCTTTTGATGAGCATAAGTTTAATTTTTAGGAGCTCCCAGTTATCTAGTTTATCTTCTGGTGTTTGTGCGTTCTTGGGTATGGTTTGTATTGCACTTATGCCATGTGTTACGGCCTCAAGTGTTGCCCCTATTTCTTCTTCCATGATCTTTATCATTTTAGGTTTTATATTTAGGTCCTTGATCCATTTAGTTTTTGTGTATGGTGTGAGGTATGTGTCCTGTTTCTTTTTTTTTTAAAGATGGACATCCAGTTTTGCCAGCACCATTTGTTCAAAAGACTGTTTTTTCTCCATTTAACGGACTTGTTCCTTTGTCAAAGATCAGCTGACCACAGGTGGATGGATTTACATCTGAGTTCTTGATTCTGTTCCATTAGTCTATGTGTTTGTCATTATACCAGTACCAGGATGTTTTGGCTACCATGGCTGTAGAGTAGTTTGTGAGAGCATATAGTATGAGGCCTCCTACTTTGTTCTTTTTCTTACATAATCGTTTGCTTATCCAGGGCTTCTTTCCTTTCCATATAAAGTTGGTGATTAGTTTTTCCATCCCATAAAAGAATATTGTCAGTAAAAGGATCGGGATTGCATTACATCTATAAATCAATTTGGGTTGAATTGACGTTTTACTCCTTTTTCTTACCTTATTGCTCTAGCTAGGACTTCCAGCACAGTGTTAAATAGGAGTGGTGATAAAGCGCATCCTTGTCTTTTTCCTGTTCTCGGGGGGAATGCTTTCAGCCTTTCTCCATTGAGAATGATGTTGGCTGTTGGTTTTGTGTAAACTCACTGCCGCTGAGTTGATTCCGACTCATAGCGACTCTATAAGACAGAGTCGAACAGCCGCATAGGGTGGATTCGAACTGCTGACCTTTTGGTTAGCAGCCGAGCTCTTAACCACGGTGACACCAGGGCTCCAGGGCTTGGTTTCGTATAGATGCCCTTTACTATGTTGAGGAATTTCCCTTCTATTCCTATTTTATTGAGAGTTTTTATCAGGAATGGGTGTTGGATTTTATCAAATGCCTTTTCTGCATCAATTGAGACGATCATGTGATTCTTTTTCTTTTATTTATGTGACAGATTATGTTGATTGATTTTCTAATGTTGAATCATCCTTGCATACCTGGTATGAATCCCACTTGGTCAATGATAGAATTCTTGCCTTCCATGCCAGAGACCTGGGTTTATTTCCTAGCAAATGCACGTAGACAGCCATCACCCATCTGTCAGTGGAGGTTTGCATTTTGCTATGACACTGAACAGGTTTTAGCGGAGCTCTCCGGTTAAGATGGACTAGGAAGAAAAGCCTGGCAATCTACTTCCAAAAATTAGCCAACAGAAACTCTATGGATCACAGTGGTCTAAGCTGTAACTGATCATGGGGTTGGTGCCGGATCAGGCAGTGTCTTGTTCCGTTGTGTATGGGGTTGTCATGAGTCAGGCTAACTCAGTGTCAGGTAATAACAACAACATATTGTATTTCAGACAAAGAAGCTCACATCTTGTAACTTATAGACACATATGTTAACTCACATTATTTGGGAGTGGAAGAATATTTTAAAAAGTAATGTATTCTTATGATATATATCATTTATATTAACTGCTAAAGTTTTTGCCGTGTGAAGATCGTAGCGGCAGACTTCATGGACAAATAAAATTAATCAGTAATCAGTGTTGTACTCATCCATCATTTTGGCCTCCCCAGCAATAATTCTACCTTTTTTCCTCTGATAGTGGTACTTGGGGATACTTCATCTTTGGGGAAACAATTTTCTCTCAGCCTTTCACTGCATGTAGTCATGTGACCCAGTCCTGGCCTCTTTGCATATTCTTTCCCCTTTGATTCTGTGATTGGTTCAGGGATAAGCATGTCAACAAAACTAGCCAATGAGTCAGTTCTGGGACTTTGGTTTGCTCTTTTGGGAAAAAGCAGCTCTCTTTCCTGTGAGGTTGCTTAGCTGGTACGTTGTTAACTTGAAGCAGCCAGGGTTCCCACATGGAATGGTCCTGCTTGAGAATAAAAACAACACAGGAAAGCACAGTCAAGAGATGGTGGCTGAGAGACTAAGTCTTGAGTTCTGCTTGGGCACCTGATTCCAGGTGTACCTGAAGCTAACCTGACGTTTGGACTTTTCAGTCTGAAGCCACTAAATTTCCTGTTTTGCTAAGTGAATTTGACGGGTATCTCTGTAACCTATAATGGAAAGAGTACCAAACCAAAAAACCAAACCCATTGCTATCAAGTCAGTTCCAACCCATAGCAACCTCAGAGGACAGGGTAGAACTGCCCCTAGGGTTTCTAAGGAGCAGCTGGTGGATTCGAACTGACGACCTTTTTTTTGGTTTAGCAGCCAAGCACTTAACCACTGTGCCACCAAGGCTCCAAAGAGTACAGATTAATTAGCACATGGTTTTGATGCAAGTAGTGGTAACATTATGAGCTTTTTTAAAAAGCTTATCATCCGAAATAGATTGACAACAATCCTGTCATATATACCCACACAGACGGGTATCTAGTATGTGACTTTCTTGAGTAGTGCATCATTAGATATAGCTGTTAAGAGTGAAGTTTCTAGAGTCAGACTGCCGGGCTTCAAATCCTTTCTCAGCTGTATGATTCTGGGTAAAGGATCAAGCTTCTTTCTGCCTCAGTTTTCTTATCTTTAAGATGGGGATAAGGAGCCCTTGTGGCACAATGGTTAAGCGTTCGGCTACTAACCGAAAGGTTGTTAGTTTGAGCACACCCAATGGCTCTGTGACAGAAAGACCTGGTGATCTGCTCCCATAAAGATTACAGCCTATAAAACCCTATGGTGCCGTTCTACTTTGTCACATGGGGTCGCTATGAGTTGAAATTGACTCAGTAGCACCTGACAACAACAACAACAAGGGGATAATAATAGGATCCGGCTAAAGGGTTGAGGATTGAAGAGATTGAGCCTCTTAAAGCCCCAGACCAATCCCTGATACAAAGTCCTCAATAAACTTATCTATTGTTATTGTTATTGTACAAGTAATCTTCAGCTGACCTAATTCAGATGCAATTCAATGCAGTTCAAGTCAACATAAATGGATTGCATTCCTGGCACTATGCCTGGGCTGAGGTCAAGGTGAATGAATTTCAGTCCATGCCTCTAAGGAGCTGTCAGTTTAATAGAAGATATTACAACTTAATTATAATCACAGTGGCCCATGTCATGACAAAATAAATAATAATTTGAAATCATAACTTTCATGGAGTACTTATTATGGGCTGCTAAAAGAATAAACAAATCAGTCTTAGAAGAAATATGACCAGAATGTTCCTTAGAAGTGAATATGGTGAGACCTTGGCTTGCTTACTTTGGACACGTCATCGGGAAAGACCAATGGCTAGAAAAGGACATCACGTTTGGTAAAGGAGGGCGTCAGTGAAAATGAGGGAAACCCTCAGTGAGATGGATTGATACAATAACTACAATAATGAGCTCAAATATATCAACAATCATGAAGATGGCACAGGACCAGGCAATATTTCATTCTGTTATACATAAGGTCACCATGAGTTGAGCCAACTTGATGGTAACTAACAACAATATTGTGGCCAGCCCAGGCACTGTGCTAAGTGAATTGCATTGATTATACCATTTAACCCTCATGATAATCCTGTGATGTGGACACTACTATTATTCCATTTTAGAGAGGTAGAAACGAAAGCAAAAGAAGACTGCATAACTTGCCCATGGTCACACAGTTAGCAAGGTGCAGAACCAGGAATCAAACAAGCAAATGGTCTCTGGAGCTGATTAGAGGCTGGAGGAGTGAGGTGTGAAATAAGGGCTGAAGGACTGATGACTAGGAATTCACTAAGTAAGGTAAGTAGAGATGGGTAATCTCTGTGGGGGTAAAACTTATGTACAACCCACAGACGTAAGGGAAAATGTATTCCAGGAACTATTGAAGTTCAGCATTTCTGGAACAAGTTGTGTGTGTCTGTGTGTGACTGGGGCAGTTGAGGCTGGATATATTTTCAGCCTTGGGAAATTGATCAGACTTCTTAATTAAGGAGGATTTACACAAATGCAATTGCTGTGGCAAATCAAAGACGCCATGAGGATGATGGCATGAGCTGATGAGCTGAGCAAGCTCTCAGCTCAGGTAATACTGTTTCTCTGACAGATGAATTTCCCCTCCTGGGCCATGGTTCTGCATTTGGAAAGTGCAATTTAGCAGATGGTGCTAGGGATGAAGGAATTCATTTGACAGGGCAAGCGATCTGTCCTCACAGAATAATATTTCCTTCAGACCGGATCTCCATCAGATGAAGCCTGGATGACGCTTGTTCAGCCTCTTCTCCTCCTCTTACGGGGCCACTTGACTGTAGGCTCTGGCAGTGTCTCCTGCACCCAGGCCACAAAACAGACTGGGCCTACAGGTTTGTAAATGAGGAGCCAGGCAAGAGAGACTGAGTAAGACTATGGACTCAGGCAAAGAGCTCCACCTGAGTTTTTTAAAATATAGAGTGTCACTTTCAGGATTGGCTTCTTTTACTTAAATCAATTTATTAAAATATAAAGTCCACACACAAGCAAATACAATAAAAAGCAACGTTACTGACTCTAGGTAGCTGTTGTCCTCCTAAGATGAAGAGACTCAAGTCTGTTTTTGAAAATTTTGTGGTCGGCTGCTGTGGAATCGGCCCCTAACTCATGACAGCCCCATGCATAATGAAACAAGATGCCGTCTGGTCCTGCACCATCCCCATGATTGCCTATGAATCAGGCCATTGTGATTCAAAGGGTTTTCAATGACTGACTTTCAGAAATTGATCGCCAGGCCTTTCTTCCTAATCCATCTTAGTCTGGAAGCTCCACTGAAACCTGATCAGCATCATAGCAACATGGAAGCCTCACTGAGAGACGGGTGTTGGCTGCGCATGAGGTGCATTGGCCAAGAATCGAACCTGGGTCTCCCGCATGCAAGGCGAGAATTCTACCACTGAACCACTAATGCCCTCTTAAAAATTAGCGATGAGCAAATTTTAGAGAGGCCTCAAAGACATGATAGTACCAAACTCAGGTTTTCTTCTTAAAGATATCAGAAGGAATGAAGGAAAATTGAAAAAGGAGCAACTTATTTACTCTGTAATTCATTGTCACTTAGTGCCATGTCTGTTATGACTTTGCTCATTTACCACTAATCGTATGAGCCCAGACACCGAACACAATGAAGCAATCTCTCTCTTTCTCTCTTGCTCACTTGCTCTTTTTTCTCACCTCTTCTAGCCATAGGAGAGGGAAAGAACTAGTGCTGTCCTTAGATGTCACACGATATTCTGCTTTAAATCTAAGGCCACTTTTATTTAGATCAAATTCAAGATACATACATATATATTCATTGCATGTACAAATAAAATCATAAAATAGGAAAGAGGTACAACATAAGTAACTTAAGTGTTTCAGCTGGCATTGCATTACAAAATGTATCAGCCAAGGCTAACTTTTCCCATAGAACAGCTCATTTTCAGGCGTGTGTCCATGATGAAAAGCACTAGACTGAGAAGCTATCAGTCTGGTATTTTAAGACACCTTTCATCGCAGAACTGCGAAGACAGCTTCCAGTACCGGAACATCCAGGAAAAAATATTAAGCAATCAAGTTTTATCAGTGATAAGCAATAAAAGAGAAAAACTAAATTCAGTCCCAAATCTCATCATTTACATGGGCTGAGTGACCTCCATATTCCCTAAAAGACCAATGGCCTTGAAGGCTTTTGGATTCTCAGAGATGAATTTTGAAGATAAAATAGAAAATAGCATGCCACTGAAAAAATGTGCAGAGGTAGTCTTTAATGTGACCAGGGACCAAACTACATCGGCTTTAGCTAGTCAAAGTGAACAAAGGGAATTGCATTGGGGAACTAAGTAGTGGCCAGTGCAGTCTGCAAACAATGCTTGGTTTCCGCACATTCCAAACTCCTTAGGTTTCTGCATGTCATGCCATCTCAGATGGGTCGTGAATTTCAAGAGCAGCTGAAGTCTACAGTTTAAGAGGTTGCATCAGGAAAGAAACAGAAGGGGACAATGTTTGTGGAGTAAATTCTAACTTGTTTCTAGACAGTGCTTCATTTAATCCTTGCAGCAACTCTGGGAAGGTTATTATTATCCACATTTTATAGGTAAGGAAGCTAAGTTTCAGATTTTAAGTGACTTGCCCAACCTAGTGAATCGCAGGGTTAAGATACAAACTCATGCTTTTATGAATCTCAGATTGGGATCTTTTTATTCCATGATGCCGGTTGGAATCACAAGGTTTGGTGATGCCAACATCCATTTGCAACCAGTAGCTGTTGCTTCTACATAGATAACATGTGTTCCCTCATCTTTTGGTAACAACACCTTGATTTTCCTTTGGGGAGCTACTCCTCCTATAATGTTAGTAAGATGCTCCAGATAGGGCTGATCCCGCCCCCTGGATGCAGGGCTGGCCACATGACCAGTCTTGTCCAATCACATCACTCCATGTCCTTGGTACATTAAAGATAGCTGCAAACTCTTTGCTCTCCTGCCTATTGAGAGGTGAAGTACAATTCCCCTCCTGTTGAATCTGGGTTGGCCCCAGTGACTTGCTTGACCAATAGAATGCAGCAGAAGTGACATTCTAGGATTTCTGAAACTAGGTCATAAAAAGCCTTGAAACTTTCCCCATGCCTCTTAGAACCCTCTCTTAGGAGTCTTGAGCCACCTTATAAAAAGTCTAACCACCCTGACACTGCTGTGCTGAAAGAAGGCACACGTAGATGCCACAATCAATAATCCCAGCCTTCCAGTCATCCTCCTCCAGCTAAGGTAAATAAAGTCATCTTGGACTGTTGAAGATTAGCTCAGTCACCAGCTGAATGCCGGGGAGTGACCCCTGTAAATGCCATGTAGAACAGAAGAATCATCCATCCAACATTAACCAAATTACACTGACAGAAAAAAATCATAAGATGTAATAAAATGGTTATTGTTTTAAGGCACTAAGCTTTGGGGTTGGTATATAACAATTGAAAACTGAAATAAACTCTTTGGCCACAATGATTGGTTCAAAGATGGGCTTGTGGCCTGAGCCAGCCAATAAGATTCAATCCCAGAATTTTTGCTAGTGGTATTGGGGAAAAGGTGCTCTCTTCTCATTGGTGGGTGGTGACCTGTACAATGTAAACCTGGGGCTTCTGGTAGCATCTTTGTTACTACTTAGGCACAGCTTATTTGAGATTGAAGCCATGTAGAAGAAAACAGAGGATAGAGATGGGGAAAGGCAGTGATGTCTGAAGATAGCCATAAACCAAAAAACCAAATTCGCCATCGTCGAGTTGATTCCGACTCACAGCGACCCTGTAGGACAGAGTAGAACTGCCCCATAGGGTTTCCAAGGAGGGCCTGGTGGATTCAAACTGCCGACCTTTTGGTTAGCAGCTGTAGCTCTTAACCACTAAGCCACCAGCGTTTCCAAGACAGCCATAGTCTTGGTCTTTTATTTTATGGTCAAATAAACTCCTTTTTAAAATAAGTTGAATTTTATTTCTTCCCATTGGAGGAAAACCTATACTAGTGGAAGAAAGATGGAACTAGAGGGAAATGGATTTCAAACAATGAAATGAAGGATCTCTATATATTTGTACCCATGTGTATATTTAAAATTAAAATCAAAAGCGCTACTTCTAAGTTGGAGTAATTTTTTTTTTTTAAAAGGAAAGCTTAAGGACACTTTCACAAGTGTTTTGCCAGAATTATATAGAATGACTCTTAGTTCGAAGTGCCACTTTGATCTTTCAAACTGTACTGTTGAACAGAAAAGAAGTACTGATAGATCGTTTGATCAAAAGCTACGGGAAAAAAATTAAGTTGCATAGTACAATGGTCAAAGCCATTAATCTATGTCTCTGTGGGCAAGCCACTTTGATGACCTGAGTCTCACTTTCTTTCTCTTTGAAATGAGATTAATACCTATTCTGTCTCCTTCACAGGGTTTTATAAACATCAAATGAGTTAGTGTTTCTAGAAGCAATTGGAAGTAGGCAATTAAAGTCTAGTTTTAGATTAGTTCTGGGGGACTTACTTGGCCGTACCAAAAACCTAAAAACAAATCTGTTGCTGTCAAGTTGATTCTGACTCATAGGGACCTTATAGGATGGAATGGGACTGCCCCATAAGGTTTCCAAGGAGTTGCTGGTGGATTTGAGCTGCCGACCTTTTGGTTAGCAGCCGAGCTCTTAGCCACTGTGCTACCAGGGCCCCTTGGCCATACCAGCCTTTATAAAATAGGCAGTGAGTGATCTGGGACAGTGGGAGAGATGAATGTGACTCCTGAAATTGATGAAAAACAGTCTAATATTAAGCTGTTTCATAGCCACTAAATGGTGTACCACAATAAGAAAATCTGCTACAAAAGGCTTCTTTAAGGTTTTAAAAAGCAAAGGTGTCACCTTGATGACTAAGATGAACCTGACTCTAGCCATGGTCTTTTCAATCGCCTCATATGCACGCACAAGCTCGAAAAGGAAAAAGAAACACAGAAGCAGTGACGCATTTGAACTCTGGTGCTGATGAAGAATACTGAATATACCATGGACTGCCAGAAGAATGAATAAATCAATTTTAGAAGAAATACAATCAGAATTCTCCTTAGAAGCCAGGATGGTGAGCCTTTGGCTTGCTTACTTTGGACATGTCATCAGTAAAGATCAATTGCTAGAAAAGGACATCATGGTTGGTAAAGGAGAGGGTCAGTGAAAACAAGGAAAACCCTCAATGAGATGGACTGACACAATAACCACAACAATGGACTCAAACATACCAGTGATCGTGAACATGGTGCAGGAAGAGGAAACATTATGTTCTATTATGCGTAAGGTTGCTTTCTAAGTTATCTAGTGCTGCTATAACAGAAATACCACAAATGGATGGCTTTAGCAAACAAATTTATTTTCTTACAGTTTAGGAGGCTAGAAGTCTGAATTCAGGGTGCCAGCTCTAGGGGAAGGGCTTTTCTCTCCGTTGGCTCTGGAGGAAGGTCTTTGTCTCTTTTGAGTTTCTGCTCCTGGGCGATCTTCGTGTGGCTTGGCACCTCTTCCCCTCTGTCTCTGCTTGCTCACTTGCTTGTTTAATCTATTTTTTGTCTCGAAGAGATTGACTTGAGACACACTGTATACTAATACTGTTTCATTAACACGACAAAGAAAACCCATTACCAAACGGGATTATAACCACAGGTATGGGGTTCAATCCATAATAGTTGCCAAGATTTGATACAACTCAACAGCACCTAACAACACATGGCTATTCTCATTTCAAATAATTAAAATTAAATGCAATTAAAATTCAGTTCCTCAGCCACAGTAACCACATTTCAAGTGCTCAGTAGCCACATGTGACTAGAGGCTATCTTATTGGAGAGTGCAAAACAGAACATGCCAATCCTCACAGAAAGTTCTATTGGACAGTGCTGGTCTAGTACATCTGACATTTGCCTGCCCTGAAACTATAAGCTAACATCTGGCACAAGCTCATCTACTCCTTCACCAGAACCACCCACACTACTCCTAAAGGAGGTAGCAGATCTGATCTCCACATCCATTTTATGGTTTATTTGCACCACTCTGGAGGCATCTGTGGAGTGGTGAAAAGTGCAAGGGAATCTTAAGAAGCTCTGGGTTCTGATGCTATGTCTGTCATTGATGCTTGTGACAACTCCAGCCAAACATCGCATGTTACTGAGCCTCAGCTCCTCATCTGTGAAATGGGTATACCACCCACCTTACACAGTGGTTGTTGAAATCTCCTGAAAGAACGTCAGTGCTTCGAAAAATTTATAAATGTTGAGATTGACAAAGATCTCAAAAATTAAATTTTTCTCAAGAGAAAGTCTCCAGATTTAATTTTATATTTGATGTAGCAACATAGTATAATGACCAAGATCATGAGCTCTGACATCAGATGAAACACTTTGTTTTTTTTTTTTTCGTTTGAA